ATATTTTGGGTTTTCTACAAGAGAAAGATGATCAGTGTACCCAGCACTGACGACCATGGTGATTTGTGGCAAAGCCAAGATGGTTCAACTATACATTTTGGGTTTTCTACGATAGACAGATGACCAGTGTGCCCAGCACCCATGACCATGCACATTGATTTGGTCGCAAGATGCTTCAATTATTTTAAAATTTTGGTGATCCAGCAAGATGAACTTTCAATGAACATAGTTGATATTACTTTGGGTTTTGAAATAATCTTAATAATTGATTTATTAATTGGCTTTTGTTTCTTCAAAATACATTTCAAAGTATTGTTCTTTTGGCTTTTTTTACATTTCAAATTTGGCATTTTTGGGCAAACTTGTTTCTACTTTGGCTTGATAATTGGCTGTTGATTTTTTTTCCAAACTGTTACATTGATTGGCTTTTTGTATTCGAATTTAAAATGATTGGCATTTTATTGGCTTTTTAAACTATAATTTGGTAGATTGGCTCTTCAATTTTTGAATCAGTGATTGGCACTTTAATTGGGGTTTTTTAAACTACTATTTAGCGGATTTGCTTTTTATTGGCACTTTATTGGCATGATTACTGTAAATTGGCACTGTTTTTAACTATTTTTTTAACAATTGGCTTATATATATTAACTGATTGGCTCTTTATTGGCTTTTTGAACCATGGATTGGCCAATGCCTTCTAACACCACCCCAAACTCAGTAGTGTAAACAAGCGCATTCTTGACCCATCAAGGAACAAGAGGACTGGGTGCAATTCCCAGCTGAGTTGGTGGCAGTTTGTGGGGTTTACACATTCATAACCTGTAGGAAATCTTTACTTTAGACTTTAGCGGATTTTAGCTTAAGAGCAGTAGTTACATAGCCTGCGTAGCGTCCCATTCCCCTACGGTGCCGCTACGCAAGCTACTAGTTACACTAAAGCCCCGTTTACACTGGTGATTTTTGCTGCGATTTTTGCTGCGATTTTTGCTGCGATTTTTGTGGCAATTTTCGGAAATATGAAATCTTTTGTCTCGATCCTTCAATAGAGACATTCGTCTAGGAATCTCGTGGTATCCTGTAAAAAACTTTACAAGTAAATTCTTTACCATTATTTATTATGGACAAAATCGCAAAAAAATCGCTAGTGTAAACGGGACTTAAGGAATCTGAAAGTGCCAAAGGTTTGTTTTATCGCACTCTTGTTACTCCGTGTCAGAGGAAGGGGTAGGGGGTCATGAAGTCTTGGTGAAACGAGCTTTCATTCTAAATCAGAAAAACTGGAACACACACACACACACACAAAAAAAAAAAAACACTTCGAAAGTTGAAGAATATAGAGTGTAAAGGCTTAATCTGTGAAACAGTAGAGTGCAAACCATATATCCGTTATCTATTATTTTATCAGTGCTATTTAGCATAGTGCTAGCCATAAATATATTGTTTCGTGGATATATAGCTAATATTTGCACTCTAAATGTTGGAATCAGTATTCAAGCACATATCAAAACATCTATACATTTATTAAACGTTGAACAACTGAAAATATTCCATATTTTTTTCTARGAATAAAAACGTTCTTAACCCATTCCATCCTGCGTGGCGCGAAACGTCACTGCGTGCGGWAAAATAATATTTTGGTTGCAATGTACCAAACAAAGATTAAACGTTCATCTTTGAGAAAAGTTCATGAACGTTGGGCATTTTAATTTTTTTGCAATATTGTTTTCGTGCATTCATGCTAACTGARAACTTGCTCATAGAGTGAAGGCATTTAAGCCGTTAAATAAAAATTATTAGGCAACGTGTAAATAGTCAAATAGACACAAAAGAAAACAATGGAATTAGGGTCTACTAAAGKGGTATTAGCCTAATATCTATTTCACGGTTTTAATGACTACACTCTATAACTGCTAGGCAAGGTCTTCGGGAAATTATGGGATGTCTATTCTAATGAGTCTCAAATAAAATTTCAATYTAAAATCTTGAGTTATTAGTTATTGGTCTTGGTATATCCTAAAATGTTTTTTATCGACACCTTTTAAAAATATTTAATAAATAAATAGTACAAGTGTAAAACCACCAAGTCTATACGAGGACAAATAACTTGGTTTTTATGGTTCCGGGAATCGAACCCGGATCGCTGGAGGGCGAGAGAACTGAACTCCAAGATCTCTCGCGCGGAAGTCTGCTATTTATTCTGCTTTACCCTTATCGTCTTTTTTCTCCTTTTCTTCTGGTGTTAACTCTACTAGAATGGGTTTTCCTCCAGCCCATGACTGCTTTGTACCAGAACACATAATACAATATAATACTACAGTAATCACATATACTATAAAAGTAATCCAAAATACTATTCTCCATTCTTCTTGTTTCTGAAAATAAATGAAAATAATCGTAATCAAAAACTTAATAATAATCGGTATCACTTTTAAATCAATTTGTAACAAAAAATTACATTTGCGCAAACAAAAAAGGGGGAAGGGAGAGGAGGAAAGAAAAGAGAAATTGTTTTGGACGCTTTTTTGTTGGTGTTTTCTCGTGAGTTTTTCATTACGTCGAAAGCGAACTTCCTAWAAGAGTTCGACTTATTGCGAGTTTGCCTTACGAGAGTTTTTCAAAAACTTTTTTCATTAATATCAGGTCTGCTCGTTTTTAATTATAATCTACAAATAGACCCTTTCAGCACTTTGACCGGGATGTAGCTCAATCTGGGGGCAAAACAATAGGTTCTGATTCTCAGGAGAATGGAATTGTTTTGTTTGCTCGCGTAACATGCAAAGGGTCTATACACCTGGATGTTTGAACAAGAGTTTGCCGTTTCTACAATTTGTTCAAAATAATTGATGGTTTTCAACCATTCCAAAGATAATTGAATAACAAAAGAAACGGCGGCCATGTTGGAGGATATAACAAAATAATTCATTGACAATTCTTTTGTTAAGTTCCTCCAACATGGCCGCCGTGAAAACCATCAATATGCGCATTATWTATTTTTAGTAGGACTTACCTTGTTTTGCGTAACGAAACCTGTAATCAGTGGACTGATAAACCCTGGGGTTGAAGCAAAAGTATTGGTCAAACCCATTAGTACGCCTGCGTACTTCGGTGCAATGTCTAGATGATTGACAGCATATCCTATTGCATTAAGACCTGAGAAGCCAACACCCAGGATTAGAAATACGACGCATAG